AACTGAATTATACGCGTATCGTCACTGAAAAACAAAAATATACTTTCTCTCTTGTCACATGCTCTGTGCAACGTATCACATACAGGTCGATACTTTTCTGTTTGTGTAACACGCAGATATAAACTCACTGTGTCTAATAAAAATGAAATGCGTTTCCATTGACTTTTGATTCCAGTAGTGTAAACTCACTGCGAATTATTTCTCCGTAACGTAACGAACAGCATGGAGAAACTTTTCTTCGACCTACCGCTCTTAACTCAGTGATTTTCAGACCAAGTTAAATAATTGTTTTTTAGTGGAAGTTCGTAATACTTTTTTTCTCGAGATTAATGTAAAAAATTCGATATTTCCAGAGCTGAAGTTAAAAAAGTCAACGATACAATGAGAAAAAACGAAAAGAACGGATTGTGTCTAATAAAAACAAAATTTTTTTCCATTGACTTTTGACTTCAGTAGGGTAAACTCACTGCGAATTATTTCTCTTCTTCAATGAGAAAGTTCTGGATATTAAATATTTTCCCATGTATTCAAGAAAATAGACGAAATGTCCAAAAATAGTTGTGTATATGTAGTTTTACGTGCTCTGTCTAATGAGACCAAAATTAGAACTTGGAATTTTGTAACTAAGTCGAAAAACGAGTTTTTGTTTTAATTAAATTTTCTAGCAACGCGTATATGAGCGATTTGCGCTAATGAGCACGGTGTGAGTGAAAATTGCGAAAAATTAGACTTGAATGGAATCGTTTTTCCGTTACTACATTATATAATGCTAACATTGGTGATTAAGCGAAAAACCGCTTCCCGACTGTCAATCTCTTTGTTCTCTTAAAATTCAGCTTTTTCTAGCATAGTTACTATCCGTTACAAAACGCAAGCTCGGTCATTATTTTTTGAATAATTTGAAGGGAATAAAAGATAAAGACTTCCGGTTTTCATCATTCGATGGGCAAGACTTGAAGCTATCTACGACACCCTGGAAATTCGTGATTCGGCGCTTTTCCTGAAGCCCTTTTTTCAGAAGAAAACGTAACAACTAAGTGAAAACCAATACTAGGTGAAAATAACTTATTACTGACTATTTTCAACAAAAATTAAAAGATCATAACTCAGTCACAATCCATCGAACCAACTTCAGAATTTAGGACTATAAAAGTTACCGTTACTTTTTCGGCCGTTATCGACAACGGTAACTGAAAAGTCAGTTGAGAATATTGTTACTTGTATATTTTATTTTCTATATAAAGAATAGGTTGAAATTGAAACGAAATTTTAAAACGCTAACGTTGAGTCATATAAAGAGAAACTTACTGAAGAAAAATTGAATTGAAGTTTATGAGAGAGATCATACTGTACTAGTCTCCAACACCTTTCCTAGGAATTCTTTGTCTATCTCAAAGATTTGATTTTACCCATTCAGAATACACGTACAGTGGTACCGAACGATCAGTACCATTAAGCATGGGTAAACTAGCCCGAATGACTAAGGATTCTTTAACCAGCACTTATTGTTTAATTTTTTATTATTTTATTAAAACTTTTTATTAAAATTCCTAACATGATAGCCGCATTGGTTTTAAAATTTTTATTCTTAACTTTGCCCATAAACTCGAAAAACGTTATACAGTCACTATCAGTCAGTTAACTTTGTGGGAACTACTTCTTAATTATGGCAGAAATATCCAGGCAGCGGCTTAAAGTGGCTTCCAAAATCGTTAGTTTTCCACTAAAACTGTTGAAACTTTCATAAATGACATGATTTTGATTGGCATACACGTGCCAGTTGACCAGACTAATCGAAATTATATAACTTCAAGGTTTTTTAACTGCGGTTTTCAAGGTCTCTGGAGACCTCAGCATCTACGGCCAGCTTGAGAAATCTTTTTGTTTTCATCAACGAAATTAGACTACAAAATCATGCCATTTATGAAAGTTTCAACAGTTTTAGTGGAAACTAACGCTTTTGGAAGTAGTGGCGTAATCAGGAATCCGTGGGTGGTAGGGAGCGCCCCACGACCTTTAAAAAAATCCATCCACGATAGTCTAAGTTTCTCCCACAACTGAAATACAGATTTTTTTTCCATTAAGATTTTTGTCGAATAATGTTGAAATAACTATTATTCGTTTATTTATTTCTTTTTCTCTTTTGTTCATATAATTTCACTTAATAAAAGTGCAGATACAGTGTATTGTCTTTCTCTTAAGAAAGTGAGAATCGAGCAACTATATTTCAGTTGTGGAAGAAACTTAGACTATCGTGGATGGATTTTTTTAAAGGTCGTTGGGCGCTCCCTACCACCCACGAATTCCTGATTACGCCACTACTTCCAAAAGCGTTAGTTTCCACTAAAACTGTTGAAACTTTCATAAATGGCATGGTCATTATATTAAGATTTTTGAAATATCCACTCCGAACACCATTTAGTAGGAAAAAGTTGAATTTTTAAAGATCTTAATATAATGACTTTATCTCGCTTTGAAACTGAAAATAAGCATTGCCACTCGACTCAGCGTGACCGATTACCACCATGTCGACCTGTTTTGCGGTGATTCAAGGTCAAATCGCCGAAATCGGGGCTCCCGGGAAAACGCTTATAGCTCCTGAACGGAACAAGCTGGAAGGTCGGCCTTGTGTAGATTGACAGAGAAAACATTTCTCTATCGCGTGGTGATATTACAGGCTAGAAGCAAATGGGAAATGTCTTCAGAACATCGATTTCAAAATGTCTACCAAGCACTCATCTGATTGATCGATTGCGGGACCAATCAAATTTCCCACACATTCACGTCCCCGGTCTTCTCTTTCAAATGATGAAAACCGTAGGTCGCTAGCTATCTTCGTTAAAAAGTTATATGCATTTTGCCGGATAGCCTTCTTTTAAAATTTCGATAATAGATATATATAATCAGTTATTTTTGTTTCAATTTTTATCTAACATCCTGTACGAAGAGAAACTTGAAAATGACCGTATTATTAATCGGTGAAAATATCGAATTATAATTTTAATGTTTTAGTTTTAATTGTTTAATTTTTTATTACTTTATTAAAACTTTTTATTAAAATTCCTAACATGATAGCCGCATTAGTTTTAAAGTTTTTAGCAAATACTCTGTTTTATCCGCTCACTCTGATTGTGTGCTAAAATCAATAAAAAATTTGCATAGTTCCGAAGGTTTCTGGGAAACCTTTTTAGAAACCAAAGTATGTTCTGTTGGTTTTTTCACCACTTACAGAGGTTTATGGTTTGCTGCCGATAGAATGGAGTATTTGCTGACATTCTGAAGTAGGTTCGATGGATTTTGACTGAGTTATGATCTTTTTAATTTTTGTTGAAAATAGTCAATAATGGTTTATTTTCATGGGGGAAACAGCAGGCTCCGGACTCCACCGAATCAACGGACTCCGGTTGACTCCACCTGACTCCGAGAGACTTCATTGTATTAAAAGCAAGAGGGAAACAGCAGACTCCGTCGGAGTCCAGTCACATGGGATCACATGGAGTCAAATGGAATCAGTTTAGGCGGTAGAGTCTCTAGAAATATATCTTTATTTCTTTAGAAGAATCATTTTTTCTCAGTGCCCTTGCATCAAATATTAAGACTTTTGTTGATTTGGATCATTCGTAAGTCGAAATTGACTTTTTTGCTGTTGTTTACAGTCGTGTTCACCATCAATTCTGAGGCTATGTGACGGTCAATCAACAGTTTACATGAAGGACCGAAAAAAAATATATCTAGAAAATTAAAGCTATTAATTAAAGCAGCTTAAGGAAACCATTTTCATACTATCCATGCATTCTCTGGTCAACCACTCCACTTCATATACCTTTCGATAGAGAATTTCACGGGCTACAAAATGAGCTATAACACATTATTTTTGAAGTGTGCCTTTGTAAATATATTCAAGAAACACTTAACATATATCTCGATTTTTTTCCAATAGTGGCATATAAAAATAATTACAGTCTTTTTTACAGGCAGAGATTAAGCACAGTTTGTATATCGAAAGATGCAGAATTGGAGGATCTACCGAATGAGGTATAATGTATTCTTTCACATTGTAAGTTTGTTAGACTTATGGGGAAAGAAACGAAAGACATATTTTTTGTGTTTTCCGACTAATTTTGCTGACATTGAGCTTTGATGCTGTTTGATGAAGCAGTGCCGTAGAGCTAAAAGACATCTTGATTTGCTCAGGAATCTTTTCTGTACACGACGAGGAGAAAATTGAAAATAAACCTGGTTCAATAGTTTTGAGCGCCACCTTAGATAAAAGTCGCGACAGCCATATACTATTCAGCATATAAGTGGTTGACAGGATACTTTTTAAAAAAATTGATTTGTTTGACAATGAAGTACTTTAAATTCTGCATTTTTCTGTATCATAAGCGTTTCGGGTCCGATTTTGTGTACAACACTATATCTCATTTACCCTTTTACAATAGGTCAAAATTACTGCATCCGTTCGGCATCTTGTGCATAAGTCTAACAAACGTGCAACTTGAAAGAATACCCCATTCTTTAGCCCCTGCAGTTCTGTATCTTTCAATAGTTACCAGATTATTCGAAAAAAACTACGATATTGTGATTCTTTGAAGGTATTATCATGATTCTGTTCATGAAGACCGTTCTATTCTTCAAGGCTCTAACCGAGGGTAAAATAAGATAGATGAATAAGGTATAATTTTAAGATGGCTTTTTAAAGTGTGTTAGTGTTTTACGACAAATGTTCAATTGAAGTGCAATCCGTTCGATTTTACCGCTTGTACATACTATAAATAAATCTCACGATATGGATGACGATAAAGACATTAAATTAAATTATCCATCTTTTCACAACACATCATCGTTATAGATGCTAATTCAATGATAGTGGTTTTCTTACTGTTCGCAGTGTCAACATACTTTTGACATCGAAACGACGTTTTTTTTAGTAGTCTTTATCCTTTCCTCAATTTTAATTAGTATTCATTTTACTGTCATATTTTTACATTTAACAGAATATGTCGCGCTATACCAGCGATGCCGCCCACAATATGAAAAATCAAGTTGACGGTTTTACAAAGAGTTTTCAGCAAACTCTGACTAGATCACTTAAACTTTTGCAAGAAAAAGCAGAAAATGGAATGGAAAACATCGATGGTACCAAGTATATAAAAGCAGACAAGCTAAACGAGATAGTGGGCTCAATCGAAAAGAAAAATATTAAGGGAAATCTAACAAGTCTCTTCCAGAAAAAACTTCAACGATTTGTACCTAATTTGTTAGCAATTACTAGTGGTGGTAACATCTTCAACGATGTAACATCAACAGTCAATTCTCCATTCAAAAACGCACAAAGTACCACTCAAAAAATTGAACCAAATGTCAGTGGAAAAAGGGATGGGTCTGTTTCATCAAATTTTCAACATACTATTGCTGATAAATCTCTGTCACTTCAACAAAAAGTTAAGGATGCGAAGGATAATATAGACAGACAGACGGATAAGATGGCAAAAGGTATTACGGACACCTATCAACAAGGCTATGGCAACATATCAGCTATAGCCAATGGGGCAACCAATTGTATCGGTGGAGAAGTCAATGGCATCTCGCATGAAGTTAGTAGGGCATACGATCGCGAGAGCGATAGTCTACCATCGAACGTGAACGATATCAAAAAATCCAGTTGATGAAGTTCAGGATGCATAGCTACAAAGTGCACATGATGATGACAACTGCATAGATCGTGCAATGAGATAGATAGACTACTGACTGAAAATATTGAATCATACACGAATGTACTTTGTTATTCTATATAAAATAAAATAAGTAAGAAAAATTAAAGAAATTGACACTAAATTCTAGACTAGAAGAATAATGCTGAGGATTTTTCTGCAGGTCTTCTCCATACTTTTTGGACAAAATTCCCATCTTGCAAACAGTTTATATCTGCACAAGATTTCCCCAGTTTCTTGATCTTAGAGTACTCTGAACCATTTATGGCAAGATCCTGATGAAGTTTTCTTGAAAAAATCTGCCTGTAAAAGTCTCGGTTAAGACTTTTTCAAGCTTTGTTTCGGAACCTGTCTTCAATCTATCACGGACAATCTGGGTGAAAGATTCCAAAAGATTTGAAAACTTTTCTGCAATTAATAAAGTCTCTGCTAACAACGAAGATTAGTGATTAATTTGACTACAAAATGAATGAGGATGACTTTTGGCTTATTTATGGTGATTATAGTACGACAGTATAAAGGACTTCTGGTAAAATTCTGTTGTCCTATATGACAGACAAACAAATGTGTCATTCTTTCAATTATCGTTTTGTTTTTTAAATTCTGCATCTATATATGATCAATATTTTCACCACAAAACATTAAAAATTTTCTCTTCAATTCAAACGTTGTGTTCGAATGCATTGCTTTTTATGTAGGTTTATTCTTTCTGGTACGGTTTGTACACTATTATAGCCGGGACCGTAGTGAAACAGTATGAAAAAATGGTAGAAAATTAACGTGAAAAATTTTCTTCTGAATTCTCACGTCTGTTCAGGTTGTTAAGGTATTGTTGAAGTCGACTGCAGCTCTAAGGCTCACAAGAGTCATAAATGACTGTGTACACATCGATTTCTTTTTTCTGAATTTATGAGGCTCTTCGTGCATCATCTATAACTGCCGATTTACGAACCATTAGGTGTTACTGGAAAAACGCAGTTGACCGAAGACTAGTAGCAGTCTATGATTTGAGCCTGTACGCTTCACCTGGATGATTTTTTCATGGACAGAACAGAAGTCTAAATATCCGGTTCATGACCTAGAAAGAGAATTTCTGATGTACTTGATCTGGTCTCGAAAGTTCAAGTCTGCGGATGGGAAAAATCTGAGTTCATACGAAGCTCTATCACACACATACAGTTCCGTACGAGGTTATTAATGATTATCAAGTATTTTCGGATTATGAAACTACTCAACGTAGACACATACAACATCGACGAAGATATCTCAAACCATTTATCCAATGTCCTCATAAGAGAAGTGAAAATTGATACAGACGCCGAAATGAGTGCAAAAAATGACTAAGTTTCTCGATAGAAATCGTTGGCAAATATAACAGACATATGGGCATTAAAGTAATGCTTGAACTGGCTAATCCGATATTTTGCTCGTTTATTAGACAATTGTTATTAGGATTTAATATCAACTTTCCTTTCATTAGTAACGATTTAGAGGAAGGGCAAACCGGATGTGGCAACAACATCACCTCGCTTTACCATCAAAAATACTGAAGTAGTTTTCTACTTTGTTATTATCTGTACGAGTTAGACAGACAGGCAAGATAAACTGATGATCGGAAACAGCACACTCGTAATTATCTATCTAAAAACCATGATGCATAACACAGTGCATGAAATCACGATATCAATAGCAAGCAGTTCAAATACAGTACAAATAGAAAGATAATTGGCTTTCTTATAGAAATGTTGTATTAGATTTTTATTAACCGCTCTTTTATTGCATTTTGATTTTTTTCAAGACAACCATAAAATTTATAGCTATTCATGTCAGAAGTATCTCTTTCATGCAACACTCTAAAATATCTTTCTAAGTTGTCAACTCTCTCTGATTATAATCTTTTGTTTTATACTTCATAATCCACACCTTATATG